TCGTGGCCGTGGCCGTCCTTCTCGGGCAGGTGGCCCTCCTTCGCCTTGTGCTCCTCCGCGGTCAGGTCCTTGCGGGACTCCGAGTGGTCCCTCTCCCTCTCTTTGGATTTGTCTTTCTCACGAGCCTCAGTGTTCAAATGACCCCTGATCTGTTCAGTGGAGCCGCGGGTGTGTCCCAGGGTGCTCACCGGGAGGACAGGTGCTGGTGAAGGGTGGCTGGAGTGTCTCTTCTCCACACTTTCCCTGCAGGAGGAGGGAGACAGGAAGCAAGTGAAATGGGCTTGTCGGCTGGCCGGGGCTGCCAATGACATGGTGTGAAAAGGGTGGCTTGGGGCTGGTTCCCACGGTCACCGTGGCAAAGCCGCCACCTGATCTTACCTCATTGTAGAGGAAGCTCAATGGGGGTGAAGTGCTAGGGGTGAGGGTGAGTGGGGAGTCTCCAGGGAAAATCATTCTCTGTATGTAAGAGTCAGGGGCCTCATCAAGACCACAGAGGAAGAGTTTCAGAAAGCCAGGTGGCCCGTGGGTGAGTGACGGGCCACACTGCCCACTGGGCTGGACTCTCAGGACCAGCTGGTGTTGAGAACAAAGTTTTGAGAGCCTAAAGGCAAATATGACCTTTCATCACTCTGTCACACAGAGCCAGCGGGAGGAAGAGTTTAACGTGACAACTATGGGCATTTCTGTCTCCTGACAGCTGGTTTCAGAGTGAAAAACGCAGACACAGAGCAATCTCCAAGATGTGGTTCGTGAGGGGGTTGAAAGGAAACCACGATTTCAGGACTGTGGGGCAGCTAAAGGACTTTTGCATTAGGAAGGACAAGAAAGCCAACATCTGATGAGAAGATGGAGAACGCCAGTAGGACAAGCAGGTCCACAGACACAAAACCTCCTGGGGGAAATTGAGGACAATTTTAAAACCATCTATGAATGAAAATGTAAACAAATTCCAGAGGCCTGTCTTGGGTGGGGGCTGAAGAATACTGGGCAGAGGATGCAAAGCAGTAGAACAACAATGAGGTAAAATTTGAAGAGGGAAGACTGAGAGTCTGGCAAGACTTAGGGGCCACCCCAGACAGACGCGGGGAGCATGGGGGACACGCAGGATGCCACGCTGACTCAGCAGGTGAGTGGCTGCAGTGGGAATCAAGGTTTCCCTAACAAAGTTTGTTTCTAGTGCACGTGCAAAGGCTAAGAAGAACATCTTTGAAAGGTAAGATTGAAGGAGAGTGTGTTTTATTAGGTTTCCTGACTTTAATCCAAGACAGCGGTTGCCAACCTTTCGGACCTCACGGACCACCGGTCGGTGACTGCGCTGATCCAAGAGGGCATTTAACTCCATTAAGGAAAACGGGAAAGGTTTGCTGCCACACCTATTCTCTCTCCAGACAGCCTGTCTATGGAGACCTCCTGGTCAGGGCACGTCCACTCCAGGGGTGCCTCACCGTGGCTGTTTACAGCTCAGCGCTGCCTGTTACAAATGGTCCTCTTATTGGCCAAGCGGTTTTATCCTACTGCCTCGAAGGAAAATTTATAAGAAAGAACTCAGTTATTAGCATGATGGGCTATGATGAATATCTACTAGTCTGTCACTTTTAGAGCTGGCAAAGTTGAACTGTTTTAAATCACTAGGATACACACACATACATAACATACAGTTAGAGAAAAATGAAAGATTTGGACAAGATTTGAGTCCGAAGTACCAAAAGGAAACTGTTATTAGGTATTTTCTGTCAAGCGTATCTTGTGTATTCCTTATTTAGTTGGTTCAAAATGAAAATAGCCTGAAGGGGAAAAAAAAGGGACACACTGTCAAGAATGCTTATGACATTCTTCAGAGAAAAAATAGCGCTTTCATCTTTACGGCCAATTCTTTTATTAGGCCTGGGTTACCAAGTACAGAGGTACAAATGGTTAGTAAAAATTATCCACCGGCAAAACAAACCCAAACCAATAATACTGCTTGTTGATGTTCCTCTAAATATAGGTTAGCAAACTTTTATTAGTCATCTGTGAGAGCTAAGGAGTTGAGTTTGAACAAAATTTCAGAAAAATATGATGAGGCAATGCAAACATGACTTTCTCAAAGAAAAAAAAAAAAGAGGGAGAGAGTGGGGAAAAGAGAGAGAGAGACCTATGCATGGTTTAATGGACTGCACACACGGGAAAGCAAACATGGCGTGGATTCATGCTGTGTGTGTCTGGTCCAGAGCTCCACCCTGCTCTTGTGTAGAGGGAGAGCTATGTTTGGACACATCAGTGCTCGCAGGGACGGGAGGGTCTGCATGTGTAACTGCTCTGAGTGGGGACTCCCGCTCTGGTAGGGTTCTATTCTGCCACAATGCACTGTGGGGGTGGGGTGTGCGCTCTGGGGTGCCACGGCCTGCTTGTGTGAAGAGCTGAGGTTACGGGGGCAGCTGAAGCACAAGGCTGGGCAGGGAGGTGGGTGGCTGGTACTTGGCACAGAGCGGGCTACCCCAGCGGGATCGAGAGCGGTTTCTTTCCGTACCTTTCTTTGTCATCTTTACTAACAGATGAGTCTCGTTTATCTACATCTCTATCTCTGTCATGAGCTGCAGCGGATGCGCCACGCTCCAGCTCCCCTGGCTTCAGCCAGGGCGGAGGGGTCGGGAACGACGGAGGCGTTCGGTGCAGCCGGTTCCAGGGCTCGTGAGGGTTGCTAAAGTTCTGCACACTGGGGCCATCCTTGTGGCCGAACATTGAGTTGGGTGCTGAAATGGTGAAGTGGAGAACAAAAAGGTTTAAGAGAAATTATATAATCTGCTGTAATGAAGGTACTTACCAAAAAACTTTTAACAGCATTCAGAGTTAAAATGAATACATATTATTGGGAGCTGGAAAAGGAAAGGAGATTAACAAATTCATTAGAGGAACTTGTCCTACGCTGGAGAGGCAGCTCACAGCTTTTTTTTTTTTTTAAACCAAAGGCAAAGTGAGGTGAGGGGGCAGATGAAAAAGGGCAGGGACCACGCAGATGTCAAGATGACCCAGTTAAACAGATCCATGCATGCACATGTCCCAGCATGCAGAGGGTACAGTGTGATAGGGTGACTTAACGAGTAACACTCAATTCAGAGTAGAATTCAGGGCCATCCACTATCGACTGCAGCCCTGCTAATATGACTGCTACTCTTCCCACAACTTTAGCAAAGTGGTGTTACAGAGACAAGAGAGCGCATGACCTAAACACACACGGTCTCCACGCTGGACGGAATGGTGATGGCTGCTTGCGCTGCATTCTATGTGTCTGTACCCGGAGACCGTGACGTATGGATGGCGTGAAAGACAGCAGGTGAGTGCGTGCTACCCAGTGGCTAACTGATGTCTAGCAGGTGCTGCAACTCTCTTCCTGTGTGAGACAGACTTTCTAGCTGACCCTCCCAGATTATGGAGCAAGAAATGTTTCCAAGTCTTCACTCCCCTGAGCCTGCTGTTGTTTTCCTGCTATTCTTCATCGAGCTTTTTCAAACCCACCAATGCCAAAGGCAAGATGAAGTTTGTTTTCCCCTCTAGTGGGAGTTGTGCCTAAAGTCTGGGGGAACAGAGATGGAATGTGGATGAAACTATGAATTTAAGCAAACTTTTTGGAGTTCAATTAACTACATCATCTTTCCTGACCCTCAGTGACATATATTAACAGTGGGTTATCCTTAAAAAGTTGGTTTTGACGTAAATGCACACGTATACCTAACTCCATTGTTTAGACCTGACTTCGCAATGATAAAACCTCCATTTATTTCCCAAGGGCTTAGTTTCTTTTTATCTGGAAAGGCCGTAGACAGATTTGAGGAGATAAATAGTCCAAGACAGATTTTAAAAAGTTAGAGGTACTCACTAACTGAAGGATTTCCAAGTCCCCCGAAGGCATTGCCACCAACTGCTGCCAGGCCGGTGAACGTAGATGGCCGGTTGAAAGGCTCTGCAGACAAGAGTGGGGAGGAGGACAGGCTGCGTGAGCACATCGGAGCTCCTGGGAGCCGCGCCTCTGCACTCAGACCTGCTCTGTCCTTCTTCTACCAGGTCATGCGAAGGTTCCCATCGCACCCGACGTAGGCACTGTTAGCACAGTATTCACACAAGCTGTGTGCATTCTGCCCCATTTCTCTTGCGGGGGCAGTGGGAGGGGGTGTGGGGAACGTTACTCAAGCCTCATGTTCTAAGATGCCTCCTGCTGCCTCCCCCTCCCCCAGCCCGGGGCCTGTGCTATAGGCTCTAATGGAACAGAAGTGAGATGACATCTTAGAATAAATCGAGGATGAAATTCTGAAGGCTGACATATAACAACCCTGTTGTCAGGCATACCACAGCCTGCCTCTGCTTGCACACTTACAGAAAATATCAAACCCAGGCCACGAACACGGCGTGCACCTTTGCTAGAAGAGACACATGACTACAGCGTGAAATGTGAGGTGATGAAGACATAATGGGTAGTGACTCATCAAAGCCTCATCTGGTCTTTCCTTCCAGCGCCAGGAGGTGCCTGTCTGTAGACCAGAGTGAGTTCCCCACCTCCTCCAAGGGCAGCATGGGCTGCTGTAAATGTGACTCCCAGGCTGGCC